AGATTTATTTACCCCAGAGGACAGGGATAAGGGACAAAGACAGGAGATAAGGAAGAGGGAGAAGGGGAGGGAACGCGGGACGGAGGATAAGAAGGAGACAGATGTGGCCCATAGGAAAATGGCTGTTTATAAAGGTAAAAATGGAAACACCACGTGAGGATGAGGCGTTTGATTTTAATTGGACATGTTAGTTACCCAAAGGGGGCTTTTAATTGCTGGACTTCAATACTTTAGGTGGGTCTTGGTAGTCAGCCTCAGAAGGAGGAAGTAGCCAAATAAGGGAATAGACGTTGGTGGCTAGCTGTAGAAATGTAACCCAATGGCCTGGGGGAGAAGGGCTCCGCCTCCCAGAGCCACCTGCTCCAGTGAGCTAGTGTCCCTTCAGCCACGATCTGACATGGAGGTCTTTACAAACACACACACAAAAATACTCTACTTTGTGTCTTTTAATAGAAGAGGGGAACGGAACAGCCAGATGCAGACTAAGTCTACCTAGCAATTCCCAGAAAGTTAACGGAAAACTGTCACTAAATATTTTAAGCACAATGTGTCAAACAGCAAATACTGGCAGAAGTGTTTTCTAAATTTCTGTATGTGCTACAGGTTTTAATATCCCCACAACAACTTATAAAATCATTACAGAAAGCAGAGTGTAGTGGTGCATGCCTATATAGTTCAGTGTGCAGGACACAGAAACAAAAAGGTCTGAGTTCGAGGCCCAGGGCTACATAGTGTGAGGCTATCTTTTTAAAAAAAAAGGAAAAGAAAAAAAAAAGAAAAAAGGGCAGTAGTTTTCAACTTTCCCAATGTTGGGACTCTTCCTCATGTTGAGGAAGTATTTGATTGCTACTTCAGAAGTGCAATTTTGCTGCTGTTATGAATTATAATCTAAATATCTGATATTTGACCCTTCTTGGGGTCATAACCTACAGGTTGAGAACCACTGTTTTAAATGAAAGCACCGCTCACCTTTAATCCTTTAATCCCAGCACTGGGAAGGCAGAGGCAGGTGGATCTCTGTGAGTTGGAGGCCAGCCTGGTCTACAAGAGCTAGTTTCAGGCAGCTAGAACTGTTAAACAGAGAAACCCTGTCTTGAGGGGGGAAAAAAAAAAAGGGAAGTGCTGTTCAGAGCTCTCCTACACTTCTTTTTTTTTTTTTTTTTTTTTTTTTTGGTTTTTTTGAGACAGGGTTTCTCTGTGGCTTTGGAGCCTGTCCTGGAACTAGCTCTGTAGACCAGGCTGGTCTCGAACTCACAGAGATCCGCCTGCCTCTGCCTCCCGAGTGCTGGGATTAAAGGCGTGTGCCACCATCGCCCGGCTCTCCTACACTTCTTACCATCTTACCAAACAGTACACACCATGCAAAAAGCCAAGGAGTTGAGCAACATTTTAGTGGTTTCTACACAGTCCAAAATCAAAAGATAAACACGTTAGGCCAGCATTATTACTAGAAAAAAAAAAGAAAGCCAACAAATCATGAAATATTTAAACTAGAATTATAAAAAGGCAGGAAGGAGAGCAGCAAGGGAGCAAGAACCATCCAACGACATCAAAGGAACAGTGAAAACCGAGACAGCCAAACTCTCAACTCAGGGCCCCACTGCTTTTCAAAAGCAGGGAACATAACAGATTATTTGCAACGAGCAATGTTTTGGAAAACAAAACAGAAATCATCAGAGCAAACTGTATACACTACAGACTTTCTCGGGATATTTGTTTTTACATAGACAAGCATGCAGCTATAAATCTATGAAATCTAAAGATTTCTTGCTGAGTTGTAGTATTAAAAGCTATTTAAAAAAAAAAACAGCATTTCAAACTGCCTTCCATGAAAAATTTCCATGCATTTTTATGCAAACACTGTAATAGCAACACTAAAAACACTAACAGATGGCTAATCCTACCTTAAATCTCCCATTCGCATCTCAGCTTGCCTCGCTCCAGGGCTCGGTTTTGTGCTGTTATGAATATTACCCAGCGGCAGCCCTCACTCAGTCTCAGGTGCTCTAAGAATTGCTCCTGCCCATTAGTCTCCAAAGGACTCCACAGCCACAGAGGCACACGTGTGTCATAAAAAGGACATGGCGTGCTCACAAGCGCTCAGAGGAACACACAGCACTCTCCGAGACAGCATACAGAGCTAAGCCACACACAGACACACACACTGGACTTGGTCCTGGAAGGGAGTTTCTGGGGACAGGGTCCTAAAATATTTCCTGGACACAGCACTGCCTGAAGCAAACATCTGCTGGGAAAAATTAACATAGGCGAGAGCTATCCACTCTGTAATTCAGTCTAAACTTGAAGATGTCTTAGGCCTGGGGGTATGTAGCTACTGGGGTTCAGTCCACACTGCCAAGAAATAAAGATTAAAAAACCAAATTGTAATGCCTTGAAGACAGCTACACAGCGTTCCTGCTGAGGTAACACACAGATATCATTTTTGGATGGCATTTTTGGGAAGGGAGGAAAAACAGAAACAGTAAAAGTTACAAAAATAGGCCAGCCGGTGGTGGCTTTAATCCCAGCACTCAGGAGACAGAGGCAGGAGGATCTCTGTGAGTTCAAAGCCAGCCTGGTCTACAGAGTGAACTCCAATACAGCCAGGGCTACACGGAGAAACCCTTCCTCACAAGAAAAACAAATGGAATTTTTAAAAAAGGAATGAAGTACCTTAAAGTACTCCGCATGATTGCTCGTGCCTTTAATAGCAGCACTAGGGAGGCAGAGGCAGGTGGATCTCTGTACACTGGAGACCAGTTTGGTCTACCCAGTGAGTTCCAGCCAGCCAAGGCTACATGGTGAGACGATTGATCGGATCGATAGACAGATAGATATAGATAAACTCAAAAAGGGGTGGGGGTAAAGTGAGGCAGAGATAAAACCAGCAGCACTACAGCAGTAGGACAGCACTTCATGGCCGTCCTGCAGTGAGAGCTTAATCTAAAATACATTATGCAGCATCAGACACTTCACTCACAGCCTGAGCCAGTCAGAACCTGTACTACATGGCGGCCCTACACCCCTTTCCACAGCTAACTAGACTAGCAACGGGCACCCCTGCCAGAGGCCTTCTACAAAAAGAGGCCAGAGAGAAAAAAACTTAAAGTTATGCACAAGAGCAGGTACCCAGGACCACCAGCAAAAGGGGGACGACAGGAAGTCAGTACAGAAAGAGCTCGGGCACTGGTCGGCAGGGATCGTGGTTCCTGCAGGCGTACAGCTCTTTCACGAGTTCCTTTTCTATCTTGACGGAAAGAACTATATAACCTGGAGGGCAGGGAAGGAGGGCGCAAATATCTTCTTCCCCTACATTAAAATGGATGCTTTGGAAGCCTAAGACAGAAGAGTCCCGGGATCGACCAAGTCACTGCTTTAGATAAGCAAAGGGAACTGCAGTGAGAGCAGAGCTAAGGTCATAGAGAAGGTGGCAGCGCAGGACAGGAACCAAGGGCTCCTTTCTCTGTAGTCATTACTGTCTCCTCTGCTACACTCAGCAACACGCAGAAACGTTTTTCTTCAAAATCAGTGTTTCTGCCACACACGTTAAGGCTATCGGGAATGTTTACGTGCCTACACCTTCTTCCACACTTCCCCTTCATTAACTATGTCACTCTTCCAATAGCCATTAGAAGTCTTCCTTTTACCTAAGGACATTATGCAGTCGCCCCATCTGGCCCATCAACTCCACTGCCCCACAACTGTCCATCCAAAACAATACTCAGTTATTCCACATACTGCACAAGCGTGTCTCCACTCAAAATAGTCCACACAGAGCAAACATCTTAAATGAAAAGGAAACCCAGTTAAAGATCTATAAAGATTTCCTTGAAAAGTCATCACCAATGTCAGTAAGATTGAGAAAACAGCGCAAAAGCAGCTGACATCACGGGGACTACAGCGAGCATGTTGAAGTGGTTCCCCATCGGATTTACTGCAGTCACTCAGTGTGGGCATTCTCGAGGACAAAAACTTGGAAGCAGAAATCCTAAGTGGGGTAAAGACTGTGGACCAGTGAGAAACAGTACAGAAAGTTGCCATAGGGAAGGCTGCAAAGGGCTTGGGTGCTGACTGACAAAGCCTTTAATCCCCTCGTTGGGGTTTCCCACAGACAAGGCTGGGGCAGTGGGGGAAGGTGAGTGAGTCCTTGTACTGTATCTCCAGAGCTGATCCCGAGGAGAGCCGAGTCATCAATTTCCTTAGACCACTCTCAGCTACCTTAAAAGGGTGGAAATTGAGAAGCCAGCAATTTTTAACACAGTGGTTCTCAACCTTCCTAATGATGTGACCCTGACCCTTTAATGCAGTCCCTCATGTTGTGGCGACCCTCAACCATAAAATTATTTTCGTTGCTACTTCATAACTGTAATTTTGCTACTGTGATGAATCATAATGTAAATATCTGATATGCAGATGATCCTGGGCAACCCCTGTGAAGGGTCCTTCGAGCCCCTGATTGAGAACCGCTGTCTTAAGGAATTGTTTGCATGTAAGGTGAGTACAATATAAAGTCAACACACAACTTAGAGTAATAATGATTGAACAAGAGAACACATACACAAGTGCACACTACTTTGTATCGCATTCAAAACATCTTTTCATTACATGAAGCGCTCATGGTGTTATAGTTTATTATTCGTAAATCTAACAACTTAAAACTATGTGTTATCTCCATCTGCTGGATGAAACAAATCCGGCTTAAAGCCTTTGATTAGCCTGATGGAAGCAGCGCCAAGGGTTCGAATCCCGGTAGCCTGACCACTCAACCACCACCGCCCCCACCAGCCTCCAGGAGAAGAGTTTGGCAGATTTAAAGGGCATTTCACGATCCTTCTCCCAACCGGAGAAATGAGCTGTCAAGAACAGAGCACAAGTGAGCGCGGCCGCGGCGGCTGCACATCCCCGCGGAGAGCCGCCAAGCCCGGCCCGGGAGTCTCGGCTGTCACGGCGGCAGAGCCCGGGCCGCGAGGACACCGCCTCCCGCCTCCCCTCCACGTTACCTGGCCCACGGGCTTCCTGTCAATCACGCGGGCCGCCCTCCGCGGGGCTCGCGAGCTGGAGCTGCAGTCACAGCCCGCCGCGGGTGTTAGCGGCGCCGCAACAGCCTCCGGGCCGGGACGGAGGTAACACGGAGAGCGCTCGGCGCCCGGAGACTCTGCTCCCCGTTTCCGCTCCGCCTCCCGGCCGCCCTTCCCCACCCCCGCCCCAATTCCGCGGGCAGGGCCCGCTACGCACGGCATTGTGGGAGATGTAGTCGGGGCTTGCGGAGAGGCGGCACGTGCTCTTAGCCCAGGGGCTGCGGGTGACGCCGTTGCTCGGTAACCAAGAGGCGCTGCAGACTAGAAAAGCCGCAGCGTCCAGATCTGGAACTGGAGTCTCCGCATCCTACTACGGACCTTCCACCAGAAAACCAGCCCTCCAGATGGCGTTGGCTGACGCTGGACATCCTACTGGTACAGATTGCAAGTGTGCCCATTGTTGTTGCAGAAGGGTAAGAAAAATAAAAGGACTAAAGATTAGTAGAAACAAAGTATCCTTTTCTGAAGGTTACTTAAGACCTGGCTCAGCAGTTCAGTTTGCTGAGAACCAGAACGCCAGAGTGCCATTCCCAGCGCCCACGTCAAGAGGTTCCTAACCTCCTGGAACTCCAGTTCCAGGGGATCCCACCCTGTTCTGGCCTCTGCAGACCAGCGCACTCACACACAATTTCATAAATACAAAGTATTTTTAAGATATTCTTTTCACATATGGTATAATGATGTATGCACACTGCAAATACAATTTGTAGACAAAATACAACAGTTAAGAAGAGTTCAACAAAGTTAATAAATTTTTTTTTATCAAGGATTTTCAGGTTTGTGGATGCAGCTCAGTGGTAGAACACTTGCCTAGCAAGCATATGGCCCTAGATTAAATGCCCAACACACATAAATAACCCACATTAAAAGTCAAATATAGGGCTAGAAAGATGGCTTAGTGGTTAAGAGCACTTGTTCTTGCAAAGCATTCAGGTTCAGCTCCCGGTGCCCACGTGGTGGCTCACAGCCATCTGTAACCCCGGTTCCAGATATCGGACTATCCTCTTCCGGCCTCACAAGGCGTGCAGGCGGTATGTTGATGTACTGGCAGGCAAAAATCCCACGTTCTTAAAATATATCTCTATCTATTTATCTATCTATCTATCTATCTATCTATCTATCTATATCTATCTATCTATCTCTCTCATCCTCTCTCTCTCTTTCTCTGTCACACACACACACACACACACACACACTCACACACCACAAAAAGAACAAAACCAGAGGGTCTGGAGATCAAAGCCAGTCTGGGAAAGACATAGTTTCAACAGCAGCAGACAAAAAGCAAGCCTTAGGCTGCAATATGTAGAACCAGGAAAGGCCTTGCATTCAGACTATATAAAGAATTTTAATACAAGAAAAAGATTCGAGCAGGCGATGGTGGCGCACGCCTTTAATCCCAGTACTCGGGAGGCAGAGGCAGGCGGATCTCTGGGAGTTCGAGACCAGCCTGGTCTACAAGAGCTAGTTCCAGGACAGGCTCCAAAGCCACAGAGAAACCCTGTCTCGAAAAACCAAAAAAAAAAAAAAAACAGAAAGAAAGAAAGAAAAAGATTCGAGGGGGGAAAAAAGAGTTCAGTGGTAGAACGCTAGCATGTGTGAGAATAAAATAGTCTGATCATCAACACCGCAGGAGAAGAGGAAGAGGGGGAGGAGGAGGAAAGCGGATTCAGATAGGCCCCTAACTAAGGAAAAAATCCAAATAACCAGTGTTTAATGTCATGAGAGGGGTCAACTGCATGCGAAAATGGAAAAAGTCAAACCATGGTAAGAAAACCCTACAACAGCTGAAACCAAACGGCTGGCAATAAGTGTTGACAAGTGCATAGGGGCTTCTCGTATTTCACTGCAAGGAACTAAGATGCAGTGAGTTGGGGAAAGAAACGAACTGCAGGCAACAATACAGATGAACCTAAATGCACTGTGTTAGGAAAACGAGCCATTTGGGGTTAAAGAGAGGCTCAAGGGGAAAAGGTACTCACCTCCAAGCCTGCCCGTCTCAGTTCAGTCCCTAACGGAGAGAATCGACCCCGACAAGGTGTCCTCCTCTGGCCTTCACACACCTGCTGCAGCGCATCCAAAGCCACATCCTCACACACACCCACATCCATACTAAATAAGTAAATGTTTAGAAAAAAGTGGGGAAAAATAGAGGGAATGCACATGTAAGAGATAAAAGAAAAGAAACTCAGAGGCCAGGGCATGTGCCAGCCAGGAGAAATGCACAGGCCTGCTGAGGGGACTCCAGTCCTCGGAGCACAGCAGAAGGAGAGAACTGGTCCTGAAAGTTGCCCTCTGACCTCCACTCCTGTGCTGTGACACTCAAGCCTACATCCACACACACACCATACTCACACAATAATAAATTAATTAAATCTGAACTTTTTAAAGTTTTTTTAACAAAAACTCAGGAATTGGTTTCTATAGAGTGTGACAAACTCGACCTGCAGAATCCCTATACAAGGGGAGCTAAGGTTGGTAAGAGGTGGGCTAGAATTCTACAGACCATCTTTGTCCTGGTGTGGTTACTGTAGGCTTTATAATTTGACAGACAATTATCTATTCATTTTTCCACATATATACTGTGCTTACCAAGTCGAAAATCAAAGATCATGGATCTTGAATCAGAGTCTTCACTGAACTGTAGGCCCTACAACTGTATGACTTTAGGCAAACTCCACGACCACATAAATGTCAGCTTCCCCACTTATAAAACATCAGCAATGGGGCTGGAGTGATGGCTCAGAGGTTAAGAGCACTGGCTGCTCTTCTGAGTTCAATTCCCAGTCACCACACGGTGGCTTACAACCATCTACAATGAGATCTGGTGCCCTCTTCTGGCATGCAGGCGTACAGACACACAGGACACTGTATACATAACAAGTAAATAAACCTTTGAAAAAAATAAAAAGCATCAGTCATAAAAGTAAATCATAAGGACACTGAATTAGCTTGAGATCACGAGCTGATATGTATTTTCATAGCGCTCTGGGTATGGCAAGTCCTTGGAAATGTTGGCTGTGTAGCATCCCTCATGCATTAAAGACACTATTGAAAGTAAAACCTATAATGACTCCTTAACTGTAGAAAGGGTGGAGGTGAAGGCGAACAGTCTCTGCAGCTGTCTGTATGGAAACAGTCAGCCTGGTAGGTAGGCATAGAGGAAAAGGAACAACAGCATTCATGTGTACATAATGGAGTAATCCGAATGTAGATTTTCTGTGCTCTCTAATGCTGCCAGCCACGTGTGACCCTCGCAGACTTGCAAGGTAGTTAGTCTAAAACAGGATGAACTGTAACAGCAAGCTACCAAATACTGAAGATTTGCTATAGAAGAATGTAGACTATCACCCGGGGTTTTCAACTTTTGACTATGAATGTTAATATATATATATATATATATATATATTATGCTTAGTTTTATATATATGCATATATACATATATATATATAACTAAGTAGATATATTGATAAGATTCTATTTGTTTTTTAAGAAAGGATTTTTCTACGTAGCCCTGGATGTTCTGGAACTCACTCTGTAGATCAGGCTGGCTTTGAACTCAGAGATTTGACTGCCTCTGCCTCCCGAGTGCTGGGATTAAAGGCATGCGCTACAACCACCTGACTAATTTATCTTTTTCTTTTTTATGTTCACTATGCAATAAAACCTTTATCAACTTTTTATGTCTATTTATTATAGTGTTCTGCCTGCACGTGTGCCTGCATGCCAGAAGAGGGCGCCAGATCTCATTATGAATGGTTGTGAACCATGTGGTTGCTGGGAATTGAACTCAGAACCTCTGGAAGAGCAGTCAGTGCTCTTACCCTCTAAGTCATCTCTCCAATCCCTTTCTCAACATTTTTAACAGAGGCTCAGCTATTACCGAAATACATAATTTCTAAACTCAAGTCAGGGAAATTGACTATATTGTAGAGTAGATGCCCACAGGGAGTGTAGACTGATAAATTACCAGCCATCCCTCAGGGGGAGGACAAGTGGAGTCAGCTTCCTAGATGTTGTAGCCAGAAAGAATATGACTATCTTCCAGCGGCTTGCTGTAGAGATGAGCCTCTGCTGGTCCAGGGGGATGCTTTCTTTCTCCTGGCTCTTGGATCTTTGCCTTCGGATTGTTTTCAAAACTCTTCTACAATGCGTCCAATAACGAGCTGGTCCGCACCAAGACTCTGGTCAAGAACTGCATCGTGCTCATTGACAGCACCCCGTACCGACAGTGGTACGAGTCCCACTATGCACTGCCCCTGGGCCGCAAGAAGGGGGCCAAGCTGACTCCTGAGGAGGAAGAAATATTAAACAAAAAACGATCAAAGAAAATTCAGAAGAAATACGATGAAAGGAAAAAGAATGCCAAGATTAGCAGTCTTCTGGAGGAGCAGTTCCAGCAGGGCAAGCTTCTGGCCTGTATCGCCTCAAGACCAGGCCAGTGTGGCAGAGCCGATGGCTATGTGCTAGAAGGCAGGGAGCTGGCGTTCTATCTGAGGAAGATCAAAGCCCGAAAGGCAAATAAACCATCCATCATAGCTCATGTACTAAAGGTGTTTATTATTCTGTAAAAAAAAAAAAAAAAAAAAAAAACTCTTCCTGTATAGCACTGGCTGGCATGGAACTCAAATAGGCTCCTGAGAGCTGTGGTTGAGGCACATGCCACCACACCCAACAAGCCATCGTGGACTTGATAGTGTCGAAGGGCTGCCTCCAAGACGATGATGGTCTTACGAGACAGGGCCTTCACAAAGATTTGTGCTTCCACCTTCCAATAGATGTGATGAAACCACAAGTCACCAATAGCATCAAAACACCAAAACACCAGCAACATAGCATCTGACAATTTACTAGCTATTTTTTTTAAGGTTAAACTGCAGCTAAATGGCATATACCTATAATCCCAGCATTTGGGAGGAGGATCGGGAGCTCAATGTAATTCTCAGTTACATATTGAGTTCAAAGTAATCCTAGGTACAGGAGATCCTGTCTCAAATATGTGTGTGTCTACTATCATACATATGTATATATACTGTCATATATACATATATGTGTGTGGTATATATTTGCTCATATATATGGTATATATAGTATTTAGTATATATAGTATATATAAACTAAAACAAATACTACAAGCAGAAGTAAAAATCAAAATATAGTTTGCATTACATTTCTGTGAACAATGTTGCTATAAAGATATGTGAAAAAACTAAAAATGTAGACAATAACAAAATTTATAGGACCTTATAATAATGTATAATATATAACCAAACCCAAGCCTGTATATCGAATATATACAGAACTGCAATCAAGGGCTGAAGAGACGTCTCAGTGACTAAGAGAACTTCCTGCTCTTGCAGAAGATCCAGTTTCAATTGCAAGCACCCACATGGTGGCTCACAACCATCCATAACTCCAATTCAACTCCAGGATGATGGGATCCAACATCTTCTGAACTCCACGGGAACCAGGCACATACACACACTCAGACAAAACACCCATACACATAAAATAAAATAAATCTTAAAAAAAAGACAATCATAGGTAACATATTCAAGAAAAATATTCAAGCATGTACCACACTAAGAAGAAAAATAGCTGTTATACACTGGTTATGAAAAATGTCAACCTAGCAAATTTCTATTCAATTTGAAGACTATTAAAAAGTATTAAAACGTTGGTTCTTACTTATCTGAAACTCTACTTTATTACCTAATATTTATGTACGTCAATGTCCTATATTTGTAAACTATGCCCCTTTGAATGAGAATGGCCCCCATAGGCTCATATGTTTGAATCCTTGGTCCCTAGCTGGTGCAACTGCTTGGTAAAGATTAAGAGGTGTGACCCTGTTGGGGGAGATAGAGGTGGGCTGTAAGGTTTCAAAAGACTCACGCCATCCTCAGTGTGTTCTTTGCCTCCTATTTGCAGTTCCAGATATGGGTTCTCAGCTGCCACACCTTCACCCTACTCCCCCGCCCATCCCACCCCATAGAGGATACAAGCCCCTGGAACCACAAACGAAACTAAATATTTACCTTTAGAAGTTGCCTTGGTAATTGTGGTGCTTTGAGTGAGAATGGTCCCCATAAGTTCATGTGGTTGAGTATCTGGTCCTTAGTTGTAAAACTGATTGAGAAGGAGCTGGAGGTGAGGCCTTGTTAGAGGAGGTGTGTCACTGTAGACAGACTTTGAGGGTTTCCAGAGGCCACGCCATTCCCTGTTGGCTATCTCTCCGCCTCGTGGTTGTTGTCTCAGGATGCAAGTTCTCAGCTATTGCTCTAGCACCAGTCTGCCTGCCTCCTGCCCTGCCCCCTGCCCTGACGGTCATAGACTCTCCTCTGAAACTATAAGTCCCAATAAACACTTCTTTCTGTACGCCGTCTTGGTCATGGTGTCTCTTCACAGCAATACAGAAGTAACTAAGCCAGTCTTTAGTATTTAATCAAAACAATCAGAAACCCTGGTTAGGGCTGGAGAGATGGCTCAGAGGTTAAGAGCATTGCCTGCTCTTCCAAAGGTCCTGAGTTCAATTCCCAGCAACCACATGGTGGCTCACAACCATCTGTAATGGGATCTGGTGCCCTCTTCTAGCCTGCAGGCATACACACAGACAGAATATTGTATACATAATAAATAAATAAATATTAAAAAAAAAAGAAACCCTGGTTAAAGTTCGGCAAGGTGTCACGTGCCTTTAATTCCAGCACTCAGTTGCCCGGGCTGGCGGGTCTCTGAGTTCAAGGCCAGCCTGGTCTATTGAGTGAATTCCAGGACAGCCAGAGCTGTGCAAGAAATTCTGTCTGGAAAAACAAACAAACAAACAAACAAACAAAGGAAACCCTGATTAAAACACAAACAGTCTGTTTCCAGGCAAGAGCAGGAATTTTCAGTGACCACATGGGTCTCCTGACCCCCGTTCACTGATCTCTGAACACTGCATATACTTAATAAGTTCTGTTTGTCTCTGGGGGCTCCCTGAATTCTGTGTAAGGATTCACTGTGTGCTATTTTCTATCTCTCTTTTTTCATTATGTGTATCTCTGTGTAGGTATGTACACAGATGCCCCTGGAGCTTGAGTTACAGGTGTTTGTGAGCCACCCGCATGAGTGCTGGGAATCAAACTGGGGTCTTTTGGAAGAGCAGTATGTGCTCTTAACTGCTGAACCATTTCTTCAGTCCCTACTATACACAATTTTCAATAGCTCCTGTCACCTCCATTCAGTCCCACAGCCTGGTAGATAAAAAAATAAATTACTTTGGAAGGTTCAAGAAACTAAAAATAATAATTTTTATCTTTTATTGCATTGTCAATTTAGAAACCATCTTCTTAGAAGTTGTGGATATAATGCCAAACTCATTCCGCTCATCTGTCGAAGAGATGCTAAAATCAAAGGAATGCAATTAGCTGCTCAGGTGAATTTCATTAGAGTGGAAGCCATGCCTTTCCAGAATCCAAGATGGAAATCACAGCCAACTAGAATCGGAGCCCTGTTAGGGAGTGCCATCTTCCTCAGCAAGAGGGCAAGGCCATCAATATCTCACTAGTAAGAAAAACAGCCACTCGTTTGTTTAATCCTGTGATCTCTAAAGAGAAGAGCTGGGACGAGGGCTGGGAAAGGAGGTCAAGTTGGAGTTTCCCTTCCATCCTTGCTTTTTTGTCCGGAATTGAGACAGGCTCTTGTGTAGCCAAGTTGGCCTCGAATTTGCCATGTAGCTGATGCTGACCCAAGAGCTGGGATTACAGGTATGCACCAGCAGATTTTTGTTTGGTTTGGTACGAGGGACTAAATTCAGGGTTTCATGCATGCTAGGCAAACCCTCAACCAACTGAGCTACACCCTCAGCCACTACTCTTGCTCCTAAGCAAAGCATGATGCTCAGGCCATAGCTCTCAGATTCGCAGATACCAGGCACAAGACTTGGGATGAAACATGTAAGGCATCTATGGCTTGGTCCTGAAGGTGGCAGTGGCTCTTTATTAAAAGTTTAAAGTGGAGAGCCATGTGTCTGGAGATGGACCGAGAAGTCAGTGGGAAGGTCAGGATGTGAATGGTTGCACAGACCTGTAATCCAAGGACTCAGAAGGCTGAGACAGGAAAATCACAGGGTTGAAAACTACCAGTGTTACAGAATGATTCCAAGGCTGTGGTGGTTTGAAAGGAAATGGTACCCAAAGAGAGTGGCACTATTAAGTGGCCTTATTGGAGAAGGTGTTCATGTGGGAGTGGGCTTTGAGGTCTCTCTTCTCAAGCTTCACTGTGACAGTCAACTTCCTGTTGCCTCTGAGTCAACTCCAGCACCACATCTGCCTGCAGCAGCCATGTTCCCCATCTTGATGATAGTGGACTGAACCTCTGAAGCTGTAAGCCAGCCACCTCAGTTAAATGTTTTTATTTATAAGACTTGCCGTGGTCGCCAGGCGGTGGTGGCACACGCCTGTAATCCCAGCACTCGGGAGGCAGAGGCAGGCGGATCTCTATGAGTTCGAGGCCAGCCTGGTCTACAAAGGGAGTTCCAGGACAGGCTCCAAAGCTACAGAGAAACCCTGTCTCGAAAAACCAAAAAAAAAAAAAAGACTTGCCGTGGTCAAGATGTCTCGTCACAGCAATAAAAAAATCCTAACTAAGACAAAGGCAAACCTGAGGGAGTTGGTAAGACCCTATCTCACAAAGAAAATTTAAAAGAGGACTGGGGCAAACACTCAGTGGTAGAGTACTTGTCTAGCATTTGCAAGGCCCTAGCTTCAATCCCTAGTACACCTACACACACACACACACACACACCACAGAAATGAAATAAGTGTACATGTGCTATGGTGAGCAGGTGTACATGTACTACTGTGAGCAGGTGTATATGTGCTACGGTGAGCAGGTGTACATGTGCTACGATGAGCAGGTGTACATGTGCTACTGTGAGCAGGTGTACATGTGTTACTGTGAGCAGGTGAAAATGTGCTACGGTGAGCAGGTGTACATGCGCTACTGTGAGCAGGTGTACACGTGCTACTGTGAGCAGGTGTACATGTGCTATGTTGAGCAGGTGTACATGTGCTACGGTGAGCAGGTGTACACGTGCTACTGTGAGCGGGTGTACATGTGCTACGGTTAGCAGGTGTACATGTGCTACGGTGAGCGGGTGTACATGTGCTACGGTGAACAGGTGTACATGTGCTATGGTGAGCAGATTGTACATGTGCTACTGTGAGCAGGTGTACGTGTGTTATGGTGAGCAGGTGTACATGTGCTATGGTGAGCAGGTGTACATGTGCTACTGTGAGCAGGTGTATATGTGCTACGGTGAGCAGGTGTACATGTGCTACGATGAGCAGGTGTACATGTGCTACTGTGAGCAGGTGTACATGTGTTACTGTGAGCAGGTGAAAATGTGCTACGGTGAGCAGGTGTACATGTGCTACTGTGAGCAGGTGTACGTGTGTTACGGTGAGCAGGTGTACATGTGCTATGGTGAGCAGGTGTACATGTGCTACGGTGAGCAGGTGTACATGTGCTACAGTGAGCAGGTGTACATGTGCTATGGTTAGCAGGTGTACATGTGCTACTGTGAGCA